AGTAACTCGAGTACTGAGAGCACGTTACGCAGAAAACAACCATCTCTGTGAACGCCTCGAAATTAATTTATTTTCCCAAGTATTTTTTTAAACAACTTTTGACTGTTGTATTTATACTATCAATTTTTTTATAGTGCTAAAATGGCAAACAAGCATACGGCCCACCTGATGGTAAGCGGTTACAACCGTAGATAACGCAAAAAGTATTGTTAAAGTCGCTGTTAAATAATTGTTTGTAAAGGAGAAATAGTAGTTTCTTTATCACGATATTTTATTGCATCTATTGAACATTTAGTGAAGGACATTTCGTGAACAATAAAACTAAGTTCAACCCAATGTCGTCGGTTTAGAGTTTAATTTTAAACGTCAACCGGAATTATCGTGAAACGCAGTCGATGACGTATTTACAATAACAAAGTTATCAGGCTTCTTTAAATAGATGGCAATGTAATGGTGACTCGACCTGCGCTTTAGTTTTACCGTGAATTTTTAATCACTAACCGTGTCCCGTGGCTTTGCCCGCAGACAGACGTCCTACTACTATTATTATTGCAAAATTCACATCTTCCCTCTTAAGGGGAGGAGATGGCAATCTAACCCCTGGCAGAGGGGGAAAAAGGGTTGTTAGTAATGGGGTCTAACTGACCCATTGCTAGCAATACATCCTATAAGGTCGATCTCTATGCGATTCCCCTTGGAAACCATCGTGGTTAATTCTAGTGGTAGTTCTTCGTCACAATGGGCTAACTGATCCGTTTTCATCGTCACCTGTCATCCCTTACTGGTGCCCAACCAGCGTATACCAATAACGCAGGTGGGGTTACTATTCCATTATCACCCATTAAAATAAAAACGCCGGCAGAAGCACAGTCGGCCGGAATTCAGGGCCCCAGGGAGACGAACCGCTTTCTACATTTTTCTCGGGAGTGAGCCGCCTCGGAATCCCAACCGTCTAAGGTGTTGTTCCAGACTGGTTGAGATAAGACCGTTCATCAACATAACGATTGGGATGATTTCGGTGGATGTAATCCCTCGCATTTCGGTCACCTCGTGAGCCAAGTCTTGATATTTCCTCTTCTCGGTTTCGGCTTTTACGAAGTTCTTATCATGCGGTATGGTCACATCCACCAAAAACACCCTCGAGAGTGCCCGATCCATCACCAATATCAGCAGGTCTACCATGAAATGAAATTCCGAATTTTTGAACTCAATTTCGTGTCTTTGTTTATACCAAAATCGGACCAATAAATGGAGTTTAACATTTCGTTCGTCATACATCCTATCGTAAAAGTCCAAAGGAACGATATTTTAACATTTTTAATATTTCCAAACGGCATGTATTATGTAATTTTAACATCAAAATTCTGTTTCATTTGGCTCCGAAATTTCGGGAAACATTTCATGGTAGGCTCTCAGGTTTGTTCGCAAGAACTGTCCTGTCCGTGATGATGAAACAGTCCCATCTATTATTATTTGTTATTCACTTGAAATAAGACATACATTTTATTTATTTATTTTTAACTACAACATTTAAATCTATTGGTACACATGTATGACTGTAACTACTAATAAATTGGTCAGTTTTTCTCATATTGGGTTTGCTGGAAGAAATCTCTTTTAGAGATAAGCTCGCTCTTATGCACTGTTATATTTGTTTTTCTGAAATCAATTACTTTTTATGTACTATAACGAATAAAGAATACACATAAAAACATGTTTACACGTTTCGCCATACATAATTTAATTATTTATTAGTTCCATTGTATTAATTAACATTTTAACAATGGCAATGCATACAATATTCAATACATATATATCAGACAATCGATTATATCCAGTTTACCATTTTATTTTATCATACATTTGTTACCTTAAATTTGTTACAATATGTTTAAATTCAAATTTAAATCATATTTTTTTCTATACAACTTAGAATGGCAAACAAGCTGACGGCCCATCTGATGGAGAGTGGTAACCGTCGCCTATATCTTTATTCAAATAGACTTATTTACAAGCACTTTTATATCAATGTTTTTGTAAATCTACTGCGGGGTAGTAGTCCTATTGCTAGCAATATACCGTCAGGTCGACCTCCTCGTGGTTCCCCCTGGAAACCATCGTGATTGATTTATTGTTTGATTCGTCATGGTGGGCTAACTAATGAAGCCCTTAGTGTCCATTATTCACAATCCCCCCCCCCCCCCCCCCCCCACATCAAGTTTGTATTTCGTTTGACACTGAAATTTCATATAGATTTCATGGTAGGACTCGGATCATGTGTGCCACTCGTGCACGGGCGTTCTCGATCCGAATGTTTTTGTATGACGTCGTATAACACCGATTGCGTATGCGCATGTGAACGTAAACAGTCGAGATCAAATTAAATTGATATGACACTTATAGTTTAACGGTTTTTTTTTTATTTATTTATTCATTAGTACATGGCGGACTTAATGCTAAAAGCATTCTCTCAGAATCAAACATAGGGAATTGTCAGAATACTCGAATGCGAATTTCTTATAATTGTTTGTATCTATAATATGTTTACTGGGGGGAAAGGGATTGTTAGTAATAGAGACTGAGAATCCCATTGCTAGCAATATACCCAACCAGGTCGACCTCCTCGCGGTTCTCCCTGGAAACTATCATGGTTAATTCCTGATGAATTCATCATGATGGGCTAACTGGCCTGTTTTCATTCTCATCTATCACCCTTCACTGGTGCTCCGCCAGTGTATCCCATTAGCGCAGGCGGGGTTACCATATCATTTTCACCCATAAAAAAAAATACTCCTATAGCGCGGATCGAATCTACCGTGTTATAGGGGACATTACTGTACTAGCGACCCACTGCGGCTTCGCGTGCAATGCTTGATATTAAATATACTTTATGCATTTTCTTCCAGCCAGCTCTATCCCAGGCCATATCCTTGACCTCCCTATACGAAACGACACCTAGTATTTCTTTTATCTGTCCCATGTAGTTATTTCTCGGTCTTTCCTTTCCTCTTTTGCCCTCTACTTTTGCTTCTACTATGCTCTTTAAAAAATCGTCATGTTTTATAAGATGGCCCAGCATTTTGCCTCTTCTATTCTCTATTGTTTTAATTATTAGTTCATTTCTCATTCACCTCTTTCAGAATTTCCTCTTTTATTAGTTTTTCTGTCCATCTTAAATATATTACAGAATACAATTCCAAATATATATTTGTTAATCTATGTAGAACATTATTTTTATGTATCTCGTGGGGTTCAGCCAGCGTTTGCAATGTAAATGAAAAAAAAAAGTGTTTATTTACGACATCACATTAGAAACCTCTAAATTTATCAGTGTTCCTCTACAATATTATGCATGTATTATACATATAAACCTTCCTCTTGAATCACTCTATCTATTAAAAAAACCGCTTCAAAATCCGTTGCGTAGTTTTAAAGATTTAAGCATACATAGGGACAGATAGACAGCGGGACGATTTTGTTTTATACTATGTAGTGATTACTAGCGACCTATCCTGGTTTTGAACGGTATTTTTTTTTTATTTTAATTTTTTTTTAAAACAATTGTATAAGATTTCTATAAGTGAATTAATTTTCAAAATAGGTTAATATTTCTTTTTTGAGTTTATTCATTATTCAATTCATAAACTGAAAACTTTCCTCTTAATGATATTTGTTTAGATGACGTGTCGTAACTTGTTATCTTACAAAGTAGGTCGTTGTGGTATGTTTGTAATACAATCTGTTAATGACTCTAATTATAAATTAATTACAAGTTTTAATCATGCATGTTTGTGTTGCTTTAATCTATACGCACATATGAACTATTATGAATAATGAAAAGATGAAAATATAGGGTTTAATTATTTATATATATATATATATACTAGCTGACCCCGTAAACGTTGTTTTACCACTTATTGCGAAATATAAAAATCGCAATTAAAATACATGGGTTGATCGTAAAACGATGAAAATTTAAAGTTGTATGTATTTTTCAATGCTAAATCATAATAAAATAAAAATGGAAAAATTTGTCAAAAAATAAAAAAAAATATTTCGGGGTGGGTCACCCTTATCATTGACGGGTATGAAAAATAGATGTTGGCCGATTCTCAGACCTACCCAATATGCACACAAAATTTCATAAAAATCGGTGAAGCTGTTTCGGAGGAGTTTGGTAACAAACACCGTGACACGAGAATTTAAACTAAAACTAAACTACTGAAATGATTTTCATAATAATATCTATGGGGCCAATCTGTAAGTATATCAGATCTTTCAGATAAAAAAAATCCAAATCGGTTTGCAACTAACGAAGTTATGACGTAACAAACATAAAAAATACAACCACATTGGGACTTTCTTTTTGGAGTCGGTTGAAAGGAAAAATAAAAGTAGGAATTACTAACGTTTACCCGTGTGTAAAAGCTAGTAATTAATACATATTTACTGGCCCTCTAATAATATAAAGCCTATTATGTATGTTATACCAAATTTCATAGTTATTGGTTAAGCCGTTAACGCGTTATGAGGTAACATGATGGCCATCTATCACACTTTCACATTTATAATATCAATAAGGACGAATGCATACAACGCCGCGGGAAACAACTAGTAAAAAATATTTATCACTTGAATGTGATCGAGAGTGACCTCTGATTACCCCATTTCTAATAATATTTTTCATTTATTAATATAAATTAAAATATTGAATAGTGATTAATAAATGGACACATACGATTAGATTTTTTTTTTTTTTATGTCAAAAATTCTCGCGGCTTGCCTTTGACTTTTGGCTAAAACAGAATATCAGTGTTTTGCTCTTTTGAGGGCAAACCAGTATACTGAGTTGTGACCATTTTGTATTACTGTGGCACACTCACGAAATTATGTTATTTCTTTTATGTACTTTCTTTTTGTTTTTTATTTCTTAACTTAAGTATGTACCTATATCTAATTATATCTATCAGTAAATAATGTATCATTGTGTTTGTCTGCAGCGGCGATGGTGCGTCGCTGAGCGCGGCGGGCAGCAAACGGTCCGCCTTGTCGGCTTCCGACGCCGAGTGCTTCTCGCTGTGCCTGGGCGCCGGGCCTCTGTGGTAAGTAGCAAAGAGAGCAGTATTTTCTTTAAGCGGGGACAAGTGGGACGTGCCAACCCTGCAGTGGTGGATCAGGATTTGTAAAGTCTGTAAAGAATACGCATAGCAATATTCAAGGGGGGACAAGCAACAATGGTCTAATACCCACCTCAAGATCAGAGGTCTTATCATGAAATGTTTTCCGAAATTTCGGGGCACGCAAATTTGATGTTAAAAGTACATACCGTTTATAAATGTTAAAAATGTTAAAATATCCTACCTCTGGACTTTTATGGTAGGATTTGTGGCGAACGAAATGGTAAGCTCCATTTACTGCCTCGATTTTGGTGTGAACAAGAACACGGAATTGTGTCCGAAAATTCGGAATTTCATTTCATGGTGTGAAGCTTCCCAGGAGTGAAGCTTCACAAAAATATGCCTGTTTTATTAAGTGATCCGGATTCATTGCTCTTGAGTGTATATAGTTGTGATAGAGCTGTTTTACAATGCTTGTTTCTGGGGATCCTAAGATCGAATTCCAGTCTCATATCAGAATTTTTAAATTCATGTTTGTAATCAAAACGCCTATCACTCCCTTTGTGCTTCGGAAGGCATGTAAAGTCATCAACGCAGACTTTTGTAAGAAATCTTTATCTGGTACTTTGAGTGAATGGGAACGTTAACGTTGAATCTCATTGCCTGATCACCAGGTGGTCCTGATGTCCCTGCTCATGGCTCAGCACCGCCCGGAGGGGTGAATAGCGGGGCTTCGAGCCCCGCAACACCATCCACACCCACCCACGACGACAACAACCGTGAGTAACATCTACATTCTCATAACAGAAATCCTTGTTCTAGATTTATACCAAGCCTTAATTATAACCTTAATGATTACTAACAATCCTTCCTCCTCCCCCTCGTAAATCTAGTTTGCCATTTAATTTCCAATCCTTAAACCCTGTTAATAAGATTCAATGTATCAATTGAACGTGTCCAGGTGACTTGTTGAGCGCCCTGCTATGGGTGAGCGCGAGTTCGCTCGCCAGCAGCGCGGAGAGCCTGGCCACCGAGTCGGGCTCCCCCACCGGCACGCACCCGGCCCTGCACCAGGAGAACCGCGAGGAGGTGGGTCTCTTGACTGATCGACCTGATCACTTATTCCTTATTTGGGGATTATTTAATTACAGTGGTGGTAGACATGAGCAGTACCATGGACATAACAGAGTATACTGTTTCGCCCATGATACCCCCCATGCGTTGCCATTCCTGAGGACTCAGATGTTATTCTTCTGTACCCAGTAAATTCACGAGTGTAAATTCAAAATTTATGAGTGTTTCCTTTATAACTTTCATATTTGTTTTGTTTTATAATTTTTGCATCTTTTTAATGCTCAAAAACTTATTTTATTTATTAAATAATTAAATATAGATACGCCAAAATACGAAGTGTGCGTAAGTATATAGAACACTGATAAAAAAACGAGTCCGCTAATTTTAAAAAATAGCTGAAAAAAAGTTGACCCTTTTTGAGACTTGATGCTCTATTTGAAGAAAGCATTTTCTTATCTTTCTAAGATATAGTCTATTAAGATATATTAAATTGAATTAAATATATTACTCGCTGATAATCTAGCTTTCTGTTGGTGAGAAAGTTTTTAAAATTCGTTGAGTAGTTTTCAACCTTCTTCGAAAAAAGGAGATTCACAATTCGGTTGTATTTCTTTTAAAGTTTGTTGCCTCATAACTCCGTCAGTTGTAAACCGATTTGGATTTTTTTTATTTGGAAGTATATATATAGTTTTTTAAGAATATTGTTACTAATAAATATTTAATGGACCAAAAAGTCTGAAATAAAAATTATTATTATTATTATATATATATATTTGTTTTTCTTTCTCTTCTTCACATGGACGAAGGTTTACTCACCGACACGGGCCTTAACCAAGTGTAGGAGAGGTTTCAGAGTAGGAAGATGTAATAGTAGACGACAAGGAATTTTCTAGTAATATGGCAGGTATTTAAGATAGTGGCCTTTTGTAGTAGGTATGTTTGATTAGTGTGGATATTTAGTGTTTGTAGGCTATTACTTAGAGTCTTTGGTATAATGCCGGTGGAAGATAGAACAATGGGTACAATATGTACTGTATGGGCTTGCCATTGTGTTTTCACTGCTATTGCAAGATCCTGGTACTTCGCAAGTTTATCTGAGATGGTAGTTTGGAGATTATGTGTGTTAGGGATAGCGATGTCTATGAGGTATAAAATGTTACTGTTTTTGTCATGAAGTGTGATATCCGGTCTATTGTAGTGTACCGTTTTGTCTGTAAGTATAGTCCTATCCCAGTAAAGCTTACACTTTTGATTGTCTAGAACAGTTTCAGGCTTGTATTTATAGTAAGGCTGTTTTTTTCTTATAAAATCATATTTGTAAGCGAGTTGTTGGTGAATTATTGAAGCTACTTGATCATGTCTATGTTTGTAGTCCGTTTGCACAATACTCTTACAGGATCCAGTTATATGCTGAATAGTTTCTGCTGCACTATTGCAGTGTCTGCATAAGTCGGTGGTCTGGTTCGGATCTTTTATAATATGTTTTTTGTAATTACGGGTGGCTATTACCTCATCTTGTATCGCAAGCATGAACCCTTCAGTCTCGGGAAACAGTTCGCCTCTCTTTAACCATTCGTTCGACTTATCTTTGTCGACGTGTGGATGGCAAAGGTTGGATCGGTGTCTTCCGTGTAATGATTTTCCAGTCCATGTTGCGATTTTCTGTTCTAAATTAGTCAGTTGCTCGTTGGTTTGAGTAAATCTGTCGCACAGGTTGAGTGGTGTGAGTTTTTTTTCTTTTTTATGTAACATATTTGTGGATTAATGACTGTTGAGATTTAGTGTGGAAGTATTGTCTAAGGGTAGCTATTTGTTTGTTATGTAGGTTTTGGATATCTATCTCCTCTTCCTCCTTCATGTCGTGGCAGAAAGAGTCTTTGGATGGATGATTTAGGGTGATGTTTCCTATATTTAGTAAGGTGCGTGTTCACGGTGCGTTGTAGGTTTTTTAGGTCTGTTTGTGACCAATTTAATATACCAAAAGAGTAAGTGAGGATTGGGATAGCAAATGTATTAATAGCTTTTATAGTATTTTTTGAATTGAGTTCAGTTTTCAAAATTAAGTTAAGTCGATAGTTGAATTTAGTTGTAAGATCATGTTTAGCTGCTTTTTGGTGAATTTGTCTAGATTGGTGAAATCCAAGATATTTGTATGTGCGGCTTCATCCATCGGTTCGATCATTTCTCCAGTTTCAAGTGCATATCCGTTATTTTGAATTTTATCTTTATTAACTGATAGAATTTTGCATTTGTCAACACCGAACTGCATTTGGATATCTTTTGAGAATTCTTGTGTAATGTCAGCTAGAAGAAAGAGGTCTGTTTTTTTTGTGGCAAATAATTTAATATCGTCCATGTACATTAAATGTGAAATTGAACTATCATCATTATTTTTGTCTAGTTTGTATCCGAGATTACTGTTTATAAGTAGATTAGATAAAGGGTTTAGGGCAAGGCAGAACCACAAAGGGCTAAGAGCGTCGCCTTGGAAAATCCCTCGTTTGATATAAATTGGTTCAGTAGTTAATGATTGAGTATTATGGTTAATTTTTAGGGTTGTTTGCCAGTTTCTCATTGCAGTTTGTAAGAAGGATATGATTTTAGGGTTAATTTTATATATTTGAAGAATTCGAATTAGCCAGCTGTGAGGTACCGAGTCAAATGCTTTACGATAATCTATAAACATAGTGTGAATATCTTTTTTCTGTTTATATGCATTGTTCATAAAATAGCGTCTATAGTTAGTTGTTCTTTACATCCTTGGCTATTTTTCCTGCATCCTTTTTGCTGTTCCGTGAGGATCTTGTGTGTAGTTATGTGTTGATAAATTAATTCACTCAGACATGCCGTTAAGAGTTTGTAAATATTCTGGAGACAAGTAATTGGTCTATATTTAGCCGGGTTTTGTGCATCATTTTTATCTTTAGGCAGCATATAGGTGATTCCTTGTGTTACAAAAGCGGGTATACTGGTAGGTGAGTGTATGAATGAGTTTAAATGATTATGTATGTGTATATGAGTGGATGTAAACTTTTTATACCAATAATTATGTATATTGTCTGAACCAGGCGATTTCCAGTTATGAGCACGGTTGAGAACATGTAGAAATGTATCTATTGGTATTGAGTCGAAATTCATCATGGGGATATTTTCAGTAGTTTTATTAATTATATTAATCCATTCAGCGTTTTCATTGTGTTCAATAGGCTCTTCCCATATATTACTCCAGAATTCTCTAAGAGATTCAGTTAATAAGGGCTCAGTAGTTATTTGACTACCTTGTTGTGTTGTGGAAGTTAGGTTTCTATAAAAACTTTTTTCGTTATTGGTGAATTTCTGATTTTGTGTTTTTCGCGCTGTACATGTCATATATCGTTTAAGACGGCTGGAAACTGTGTTAAGTTTTTGTTTTAAGGTGTCTAAATAATGGTTTAATTGTGTGTTTGGGTTCTCATATTGTGCATGGATTAAATATTTGACCTTTATTTTCTCTACTGCTGTCATTACACTTTTGCTTCTATTACCTCTTATATAATGTGTTAACTGTGCTATATTTGTTCGTAGTTTTATGACTTTATCTTCTAATCTTTTTTGCCAAGATGGTTTTATATGTTTATTTCTATTATAGGTGTTACTTTCTTTAATTTTCGTTCCGTTACAACTTGCTGCAGTATATGCAGCGATGTAGATCAAACTATAATTTATTGAAATCTAAATCTTCTTTTAAATAGTCAGGTAAGATGTTTGTATTAATGAATGCTACAATCTTTGCAAGCTTTTTGGATGTTTTCTGTTTGGGTATATATGGTCTACTTGTTGGATCAGTATATTCAAATTTTTCAACAGTGTTACAAATTGCTCCGTGATTCTCTTCTGTATATCTGGTTGTAGATTATTATTATCGATGGTAGATATTTGTTCAGTATGTGTGTGTGTAAGATGTGTGTTTGTTAACATTGTCTGTTCCTTTTCTATTCTGGGTATTTGTATGGTTTCGTAAGTGAGGTTTATATTTGGTTGGTTTTCAGGTGGAGTACTAATCTGGATTGTATGTGTGTAGGCTTCTACTTCCATTTTTATTTCTTGAATCCTATTTTGTGTTACCATATTGTTGTTCATTATTGCTCTTCTTTGATCTGATAATCTTTTTTCTGTTATATGTGACAGGTGTGGAAATCGCTTTATAAATTCACAGTGTAACTTTTTCTGATGTGCTGTCATATCAGTTTCATTATTTGTTACCTCAAAGTAAATACGTAAAATAGATTCATTTATTTCATTTGACCATCTCATTCGGCTTCCGGTTGACTGTGTTAATGTTAGGGTGGGCTCACTATTTGATGGAAAATCTTCAAGTATTGACGACACATTGGTCTTGATTTCATCAATTACAGATTGAGGTAATAATTTATTGTTTATGATTGCTCTGCGTTGATCACCTATTCTTTGTTTAGATGCATTCATTTCAAGGTATTTTTCAATGAATTTTCGGTGTAGTGTGTCTAGATAGTTTCGCGTATCTGTTTCCATTTTAGTTATAATAAGGTAGTTGCGCAATATAAATTCGTTCATATCTGGGCTCCATTTACGTCTTGCGCTAGTAATGCCAGAGATGGGTGCTAGATTATCGGCGCATGCCTCCTGCACAACATCAACTGACTCTGGCGATAAAGTGGATGATCGTGATGTGGATTGTATTTCAGATGGGTATGAAATGAGTTAGGTGATGAAAAAAGGCTATTGATTGATGAAAGTGAATCAGATGATGGTGAATTTGGGTGAGAAATGTTTTCGGCTGTAGTATATTTATCGACGAGAGTCCGCCTGTTCAACTCTCCGTCGCCAATGGTTCGTATACTGTGGCATCCAGCATTGGCCCCATTACCCCCGGTAGCGGCCGTAAATTATATTTCCTTTTATTATTTTCCATCATATATTAATTTGAGGGTTAAGGGTTGGGATCGTTAGTTTGAGGAGGGTAGTCTAGATGTTAAAGACTGTTAATCTGTGATTTTTACTAAAATTTGTGCTTAAGATGGTATAAGCTTATGTCCTGCACCATACTCCCCGTAAGCCCCCCCACCGCGCCAAGGTGATCCCCTGGGGGGGTTATTATTATTATTATTATACTTACAGATTGGTTCCATAGAAATTCTATCAATATCGGTCCAGTAGTATAGTTTTGAAATCGAAATAACTGATTTTGCCATAATTAATGTCTGATTGTTTTTTTTTTTTTTTATTTTCAGATAATACGCAAGATCTTGGAGCGCAAAGACCGCCAGCCCGTTAAGATCGATTTTAAGATTTTCCTCACTGAGAACACTGTGACCCGCTGGGAAGCTGTAAGTTTTTTTTTTTTTTTATTGTGGTAAACATACTTATTTATTTATTTAAACTTTAATGCACAGTAAAATTCTATGTACATTTGGCGGACTTAACACCGGACGGTGTTCTCTACCAGTCAACCATTGGGCAAACAGAGAAGTAGGCGGTGCATTATTGAATCTTTAAGACGTAGTTTTAGACACGGGCCGAAACAGTATACTCTGTTATGTCCATGGTACTGCTAATATCTATAGGCGACGGTTACCACTTTCCATCACGTAGGCCCGTCAGCTTGTTTGCCATTCTAAGTTGCATAAAAGAAAATTCTACACAAGCGATTCGGAAGCCATTTCAGCTCAGAGCGGTAAATGTGTGTACAAAACAGGAAAAACAGTTTAGAAATGGGTCAGCACTAATATAAATCATCTAGAGACGCGTGTCAAACAGATTGTGTCACGTTATCAGGCGGCCTGTCAACTGAGATGTCAACGCACCGGGCGTTTCGCTCCAGCTGATAAGTGACGAGGGGTTAGACCCTGTTTTAGGTTTGTTTGTGACTTCACAACACGGTCATGTCGTAAGACAAGAGAGGCTCTCAAACGTTACTATTACCTTACTTTAAGTATTGTTTTTTTTTTTATGGCCACGAATTGTAGTTGTTATTTTTTTTTGGGCGATAATGATATGGTAACCCCGCCTGCGCTACGGGATACGCTGGCGGAGCACCAGTGAAGGGTGATAGGTGAGGATGAAAACAGGCCAGTTAGCCCATCATGATGAATTCATCAGGAATGTTCGACCTGACTAGGAATATACATGGCTAGTAATAGGGCTGACAGTCTCCATTACGGACAATCCCTATCCAACTGTATCTAGATGGATTGGTTACGATTGATTGATTGAACATTTCAAATCGACAGGTTTTGCAAGGTGGCACCATCTACCTGCGCGTACCCGGGGTCCTGCAGTCCGGCAGCAAGGAGAGCTTCATGCTCCTCCTCGACTTCGCCGAGGAACGTTTGGGCTGCACCAAGTAAGTACTCATTTATTGTTACCGATGAAGTGTACCAGTACAGTAGCCCAGTATTGACCTTAGGTTGGTGACGGTTGGCCAAGTCCAAGATGGATTTATTGATCTGCCTTTCTTTCTCACTTCCTTCCTTCTTCTTCCTTCCTTCCTTCACTGGTGCTCCGACAGCGTATACCGTTAGCGCAGGCGGAGTTATTATCAATTAATAAAGGTACCCAAGCAAACAACTGGTTTAATACCCTCATAGAATCTCTAGTACCTGGCTTTGTTTTCACCCATTAATAATAACTTATCTCTTCCAGCTGCATAATCTGCGTGCTGAAGACCCGCTCGGACCGCGCGACTCTCCTCCGCACCTTCATGTTCATGGGTTTCCAAGTGCTGCCACCCAACTCGCCGCTGATGCACTCCATAACCAACCCCGATTACATATTTTTGCACTACAATATGCAGTAAGACACTACACAGCTGTACGGTTCTTGCGACTAAACCAATAAACCGAAATGAATGTTCTTTGAGCATATTTACTAATAACAATCGAGATTACCAACATAATTTGTCGATTTAGTCGCATTTACTGAATTTATAATCGACGCCATCTATTATCAGCTATACGAACTAACATCACAGCTGTCAAATGTCAAAACAGATGGCGCGAAACTGTGACAGTCGCGTAGAAATAGTTATCGCTAAACAGTTTTCGTCTGCATCGAACAAGTTGTTAGTAACATTAAAAGTTTTAAATTACTACACTGCTAATTCATACGAACTGCCTTATTAAGATTTTGCAAAGAGGAAAATTTATAATAAGAATATAATTTATAATACCAAATTTAAAATTAGAAATAAACTTAAAAATTTTTATCATAGATAATATAGAAAATACCAGCTCGCATAACAGAGTAATAAGTATACCTCTATTTCTGTTTACGAAACATGATTAGCGGTGTAGTGTGAAAACTGTCACATTAAGTAGCTATCATAGACTCTGCACGTTTTTTCTTAATCAGGGCTTGATAGTGGTTTCAAGATGGCGCCAACAAGTCTACATAGTAATTAGATATTTAGTATATCCTTCTATTATGTACGCACTACGATAATTTATGATGTTATAAAAAAAAAAAAACAATATATGGTGACTAAAATCAAAAGCTTGCTGCATTATTTGTAAAAGAGAAATAAACATCAGAGTTTAATGCTTACCATCGACAAGGCGCTTTGGTAATTTTTTTTTTTTTATAATCATAAACTATCGTAGTTTATTAAGTATTTTGTTTCTACAATTTCAGCTTTGAATATATAGCTATATAATCACGAATTACTCTTATATTTTTCCTTTCAAAACTGATATAGTAGAAATGTTTGATTCTTATTACTTTTACTATTATATTATAAACCATATGTATGTCGTCGTGTATTGTAATCGATATTCACCCACTCCGGGATAGAGCAAATAAAAAAAAAAAAAAAACAAAAAAAAAAAAAAAAAAAAGGTTTGTAAAAATATTTCGAACTCCACCTTTATTCACTACTAAACACTTTTAGTTTCATTATGTTTACACCAATAACACAATGGCTTGAATTTTCTATGAGTCATCTCTTAAATGCTATTTATTAGGCCTAATTTTTTTTTTTTCTTTTTTAAGATAAATGGCATAATGTAAAGTACTCTTTGTATCAAAACTAATATAATCACGTTTAAAACAATATAAATATTATCAAATACTAAAAAAACCGTTTTTGTTACAGTATCGAAATATTTTTTTTTTCTTATCGAATAACTTTTTACACTGAAGACTTTATTTTCCATAGTAAACGTCATAAGTGTGCATATATCTTTAGGCGTCCGTACACGGTCAAGCTGTTAAGTCTTGCACGTATATTACGGTTTATTAGATAGAGAAAACTACGTTCATTCTTTGTCTAACAAAACTGCAGAATACTTTAAAATTTAGTTGCTTGAAAGCGTACGGAGCTTATTATTCTTAAGTAAATATAGAATAAGTGGTTTTATGTTTTAATTCCTTATTTAGTATAACGAGCGTGGCCGTGCATGTTGGCGCGCTTGCTCGTGCGCAAGTTCGCAAACATGTCCGGATGGCGAACTAGTTTATATTTACAAGCGCTCCCGAACATGTTTTCAGTATTTCTTTCAAAGTATTATACGATCTTTTTACGTTTGACAAAATATGAGACGCGCTTATGTAATGTAAGTTTATTGTATTAATTGAGAAACATTAAAGTTAATCATAATTAATATATAGTTTTATTTTAACATATTTCATTATTTCAACTTGTCCTTCATCATCATCATCACCTCAGCCATTATCTGTCCAGTGCTGAATATAAACCCCCTCCATAGACTGCCATAACGAAAGGCCCTGAGCCACATGCATCCACTGACTTCCTGCAATCCATTTGAGGTCGTCACTCTATGTAGTAATGGTTCGTCCTACGTTAGGTTTGCCTGTACGTGCTATTCAAGAACCTTTCTTCCCCATCGGTTGTCGGTTCTTCCGAGCTGTGTGACCAGCCCATTGCCACATAGCTTGCTTACCCGTCTGGCTATGTCGATTACTTTCTTTTGCAGATATCCTCGTTTCGGATTCTATCATACAAAGAAACTTCGAGCACAGCCCGCTCCATAGACTGCTGAGTAATTTTAAACTTTTGCACAAGTTTCCCTTAATAGTTATAAACTGTTTCAATACAAGTTAATGTAAATAAATAATAAAAAATTTCACTTGATCTATTCACTAATTGTTTAATTAGAATTATTTTGTTTAATTTTGCTACCATTATAATGTGTGTGACTGCCAACATCCGAAGATTATCCACCACTAATTACTAACATAAGTTCCACAACCTCCTATATTCGCATATGGGGTCAGCTAAACCGTTGCACGTCGACCCACCGGGATCTTTTGTGCCTACCTTCTATATTAGTCATCAATCTCCGACTGCCAGTTTGTTCACGCACGTTTTGCGACACGTATTTCACCTCTAATCGCGGTAAACTCAGGCTAATTATTATATTGCGGCTCAATTAATTTATCCCACCATAATACATATTATTGACAGACGGGATTTTTCCATGCAGAAAAACTTGTAACACGGCCACCTTTCCATGGTTTCTTCTGCTTGCCCTTTTTTTAAAGCTCGTTAATTCCTATCAATAATGGGAATTTTAAGATGTTTTAGTCGTTTGTTAATCGACTCTATCAGGTCGACCTCCACGCAGTTTCCCGTGGAAAACATCGTGATTGATTCTTGTTAGATTCGTCACGATTGATTAATTAATTTATTAATCGACCTGCTTTCATCTTCACCTGTCATCTGTCACTAGTACCTCCGTCAGTGTATACCGATAGCGCAGGCGGGGTTACCAAACCATTTTTTACTTATTTAAAAAATCTTGGATGGAGGAAAAACAGTCTAGTGACGAAAAGGATATTGGTAGGTTGTCTATAAGAGATTGCCCTAGCGATAAGACCACCTATTGTATCTTTATGTCATACGTATTTCACTTGAATAGTTTATATGCCATTGTTTATTTTTATGTTTATGGTGTAGGTAATAAAGAATTAAATAAATAAATATTTTTTTTTTATAAATAACAGGAAATGAAACAAATATCAAAGTAATAATGTATTTATTGATTACACTAAAATATGCATATATATATATATATATATATAAAATAGCTTTGTAAAAATTAACAATGTAACGCCTGTAGGGGTGATCTTTTAAAATTTTTGTAACCTATAAAATTGACTTTACATTTTTTTTAACTTTGTAGTAATCGACATACGCGTGCGGGTGCGTGATCGACAATTTTATGTTATACATATAAAACAACTATAAATAAAAAAAAATAAAATAAAAAAAGGCCCGATTTAAACTGACCTTTAAAACAGCTGTTGACCTTGAAAAAAATTTCATAAATAGTAGCTAACAAAAAATCCGCACCATAATCGGCCCATTCGTTTAGGAGCTGTGATGCCACAGACAGTATTAGACTTGTAATACTCTTTTTTTGAGTCAGGCGTTAAAAATGAAGCTTAATTTGCTATACATACTTAATGTGCATATGGGACTATTTACACTTATTTAGCTCCATTCGCGTTTCGCTGAACGATTTTGGTCACACATATACGAGGTCTGTCCGGAAAGTTCGTATAAAAGTGTTCTGGAATGCGAGAAAGAGGAGTGGGGAGGCCAGGTAAGCGCAGGACCCCTTCCTTATGTCCCTAACAATGCTTCAGTTCTGGTCTGACCGCCGTGCGGTGCGAACTGGCTTGTCACGCCATCTGTGAAGTTATCTCTTAACGAAACCCCGTCGGCATGGAGCCCGCTTCCGTTGAAGAGCAGCGCGTCGTAATCAAGTTTCTCTCGAAACTCGGCAAGAATGGCCGTGAAATTTTTGCCGATCTCAGAACAGTTTATGGGGATGATGCTGTGAAGGAACCAACCGTCCACCAGTGGCTAAAAAGATTCAGAGAGGGCCGAGAAAGCGTTCAAGATGACCCACGTTCAGGACGTCCTTCCACTTCACATTCCGACGAAAACGTGGAAAGAATTCGAACTTGTGTTAATGGGGACCGTCGTTTAACGGTCAGACAGGTGGCTGAAGAGCTTAATTTGGGCAAAACCGTGGTCCACGAAATTCTAAGAAACGAACTTCAAATGAAAAAAATTTGCGCCAAGATCGTTCCCAAGCTTTTGTCCCCGGATCAAAAATCACGAAGAGTTGCTTGCTGTGAGGACTGGTTGGAAGCCGAAGAGAATGGTGACTTTTTGAACCGAGTCATCACTGGAGATGAGTCTTGGTTCTACGAATTTGATGTCGAATTAAAATCCCAAAGCAAAGAGTGGAAGACATCCGGGGAACCACGAACAAAAAAATCAAGAAAATCCCGCTCAAATGTCAAGACAATGTTGATTGTTTTTTTCAATGTTCGGGGGATTGTCCATCAAGAATTCGTCCCTCCAGGCCAGACAGTTGATGGAAAATTCTACGTCGATGTGCTCAGACGCCTCAAAGCTCGTGTGGCACGAGTTCGTCCAGAATTGGCGCGAGAGGGGCGTTGGATTCTTCACCACGACAATGCCCCTGCCCACACCTCTCTTGTTGTCCGTGAGTTTTTGAGTAAAAATTCCATTACGGTGACCGAACACCCCCTATTCGCCGGATTTGGCCCCGTGTGACTTCTTCTTGTTCCCAAAAACCAAATTGGTACTTCGGGGGCGGCATTTGGGGGACATAAATGAGATAAAAAAAGCTACGACGGGGCAGCTGAGAAACCTACAACCAGAGGACTTTCAAGGAGCCTTCTCACAGTGGAAACGGCGTTGGCACAAGTGCATTATGTCACAGGGGGAGTACTTTGAAGGGGATAAAATTGATTTACCTGAATAATTGTAAAATAAAATTTTTAAAAAACTTTTATACGTACTTTCCGGACAAACCTCGTACAGCTCTGTTTCTATCGCCGCGGTCGACGGTGAATGCGGCGGAACAGCGCTGAACGCTCTCTATAGCATTCGTATAATAAATACATATTTATCCTCATTTTTACTGGGTTGCCGCGAAAGCAGAGTAGACGCAGAAAGTTGAATGAATGCGTACACATCTCCATACAAAATCGTTATTTTTTATGGACAAAAGCTGAATAGAGGTGAATAAGTGTGAGTAGTCCCTATAATGTAATCGAACAATCATCATACAGTGTGTGATCATAATCATTAGCATGTTTTTACCCGATTACGGCGAAACAAAAAGGAGTGTTGAGGAGATTACGTAGGCCAACCGGTCAATCGTGGCTAGGAAAAAAATATTTTGCTAATCTAGCGAAAGATACTCAGACGCAATGCTCACACTAATATAAATAAGTAGTTACTAAGAATAGTTTTCAGTTTTATGTTTTCCCTCTTAATAAAATAAAAAAACACTACATAATTGTGTACTGAACTATATTGTTTCATTTGAGATTTCAAAAACAAGGTGTTGAGAACACTAAATTTAATATTATACTATGGCAACTCTAAAATTGCCTTCGCTCTCTTCCGTTACAATTGTCCAATGTGCAAGTATATGTGTAAAAATATGATTAAAATAAATATATTGTAAAATTAAAACAAATTACAACACAAGGTTCCATCAGTAAACAGAATGAATGAATGTGTATACTTTATTTGCATTATACAATATAGGAAATAAGCGAGACAATTTACAAACACAACGATACAATTGTATAAGTACAGTAAGGCGGTCTTATTGTTGAGAGCAATCTTTTCAAGACAACCTTAAGGGTAATGACAACAATAACAGTAGATTTTGGGTCTAGTCTAGTCTAGTCGGCCACCCCTGATACATATATCATCATATCTATAACCATATATATGAGATTCCATAAAAAACAAAATGTAAAAAAGTGCCAATCTCTCTTCTCTCCTTTCATTACAAGAGTAAATTATTATAAAATGCATTATTATTATTTATATTCTTTGTCCGCCTGGCCGGCATAAAAAGTTGCCCATGTCCTTTCCCATCCCATACAGTACGTATATATAGTACAATTATTTCATAGAAATTCGAGTAATCCGTTAAAACCCTATATGGTACAAACAAACTCACTTTTACATTAATTGTTATTAGTAAGGAGATTCCTTTGGGAAATATATACTTATTGTTTCAGGTGAGAGAACATTCTGATAAAAGGAATGTTATAAACTTTAATGTCAACCTCTATAGATTAATTCCCATAAAAAATTTATTACTTTCAATACAATTTAATAGAAAATTAATCAAGTAAAATTTAAATTAGCACACAAGCACTTTTTAATTATTTTTTTTATAACACAGGGGCATGCAGCGCATTTGGTGGTAAGTGACTATCGCCGCCCATGATCATTTACAACACCAGAGACATTGCAGGTGTGCTGCCGGCCTTTTAAAAAGGAATATATTGGTATCGGTTCAGAAATACAGCTGCTGGAAGTTGATTCCAAAGAGTGGTTGTGCGTGGAAGAAAGTTCCTTGAAAAACAGACGGTGGAGGACCGCCACTCGTCCAGATGGTTGAGATGGAACTTTAGTTTGTGGCTGGTTGTATGGTGGTGAAAACCAGCAGCAGGTATCAATGCGAACAAATGAGTAATAAATACAATAATTTAATTTATTTTTAATTTGAATTGGACATCAGCCGACTGTCTTATCAGGTCTGGTGGGTTCAATGATTTGTTTGTTTACATTTTAATTATTTTCTATTAAAACAGGCTGCAGTAGTGTTCTCATTTGCAAACTTAACTACAATCTCTTGTACACCTTGTATAAGTAAGTTATATCACCTTCCACTTGCCTCTCAGTTGGCACATCTTCCTCTTGGATTAGTCGGAATCTCTGATCGTCTATATTCGGGAAGAAGGTGTCACAGTCGAATAATTTCTCTATGACTGTGAGATAGATTTTATAACAATTCGGATATTCCATTGAGGCCTAGAAATAATAAATGATAAATTTATTTAAATTCATTTATACATTACTAGCTTTTACACGTGACTTCGTCCATACGACTGGGATAAAAATCTTATAACCTCCATCCCATATAGTACCAAATTTTATAGTTATTAGTTAAATTAATAAGGCGCTGTATGGTAACAAACAAACAAACTCACTTTCACATTTATAATATTAGTAAGGACTATACACTCTCATAATAAATAAATTAAATAAAGAAATATGACAGATGTAATCAAATGTACAAAGGCGAGTTTAACTCTACAAGAGTTCTCTTCCAGCAACACCCAAAGTGGAAAGGAGCATCAATGTCAGTGGGTAGAAAGATGTAAAATATTGTAAATATTTATTGCTTCAATCATATTTTCAAGAAGATTATCAAAATTAGTTCAAATTAAGAGACATATTTGTATGAATGAATGAATGAGTATACTTTATTTGCATTATACAATATAGGAAATAAGCGAGACAATTTACAAACACAACGATACAATTGTATAAGTACAGTGAGGCAGTCTTATTGCTGAGAGCAATCTTTTCAAGACAACCTTAAGGGTAATGGACTAATTGTTGTACAAGTAGGTATGATAGTGCTGTATAATTAAAGTATCTTTGCGTAAATGGTCATGAAAAGTCACAGATAAAACTTTCATTTCGAAAGTAGCTTATAGATTTTTTTATCACATGCGAATTACTATATAAAATATCCTATGTGTATAAGTTAGGATATAACCTATCTGTGTACAAAATTTCATTCAAATCTGTTCAGTAGTTTTTACATGAAAGTGTACCCATCCCTCCTTACAAACTTTCGCATTTATTATATTATTAGATTTAAAAAAAAATATATTAAGTATGAGCTTATCTCCGAGTCTTATCTCGTCACCTTGTACACTGATGACCCTCCAATGACCCATGTTAATTCTATATCTTCCCTGCTCTCAATATATTTGATAGCTTCATCTAAACTTGGCACCACCACCACACTTTCTGGTACCTGGAAGTCACAAATAAAAAAGACATAACAAAATAGTGTGGTTTCTTTTTTAAAAGATACAACTTGGTTGAGATTGGAAGCAAAACTATTTTAATTGTCATAACAATTATACAGGTACCCACATCAATTGACTTAATCAAATTACCCATTATTTTCATACATAACATTTTTAATTGGTGATAATTGAATGGTAGGAAGGGATTATTAGTAATGCAGATTACCAGTTCCATTACTAGTAATATACCTTGTTAGATCGACCTCCACATGGTCCCTCCTGGTAACCATTGTGTTGAATTCCAGGTGTATTCATCACGATGGGCTAATTGACTTGCCTTTTCATTCTCACTTATCATCCCTCACTAGTGTCTCACCAGTGTATACCGTTAGCACAGGGTTTTCTTTATGGGTGAAAATGGTATGGTAACCCCTTAGTAGTTAGGTAGTTTCTTATAGTCAATAAAGATATTTAAATAAAAATAAATAATTTACCTTTGATTTCACTTGATCCACATTACGAGTGAGAACAATATTGACTCTATTACTCAGTGGACTGAATTTTGGTGGTATGCTGTCCCATGTTTTACGACCCATAATAACAGCATTCTTTTTAGAGGGATCTCGCACTTTGCTGGTCATTGTGGTGAAATATGCCATCTCTTTTCTGGAAATATAATATGTGGTACTTTTAAAAACTTTTATTTAATTACTACCTCTTTTTTGGAAGGAGACTGTACCAAAGTCATTTTCCTGGGCACCTTTGTCCCAGTCTTGTCTTTGGTGACCAGTAACTAATTTTGCACAACTGTTTCAATTTGAAGGGTATAATAGAAAAAATTACAGACTATGGAGGCAAAAACCTTAGATCTCAAAAATGACAAATAATATAAAATATTAATTTATCTTCCCGAGCGTAGCCAGGGCGGATTGATAGTTTTATATAAAGTTTGTAATACACTTACTTTAATCTCCAAGGTAAAGTGCCGTTCACTCCAATACCCATGTTTTCACATGCCGCTGCGATTAAATTTAAATTAGTTTTACTCATTGTGAATTTGTGCAATTAAAATGGAATAATATAATTAAAAAATTACAGATTTTCGTAACAGAAATGTTTCAAAACAAACAAGGTAATGGAAAAATTTAAAACTTTTACGCTATTATTTTACGCATTTCATCTTTCGTGAGCATCTCCCGCCAATATTGACATGAATATATTAACAGATGACAGCCGACACTATGACACTGACATTTATGAATGACGTTCGCATAATAGTCTTCGTACATGATTATGTACGTAGCTATTATTTTTATTCATAAAACGAAAAATAAAGTTTTGCTAAAGCTAAAATGTATGTGAGTGTTATCTATTACATATTTACAGTTATATATCCTCTATTTCATATTGTTTCACTAAAAATGTAAAACAACAACGTATGGAAAAGGGCATTAACTCCTGAAACACAGGTTTTTTCATACCTACCTCGGGAGTTAGGGACTTCAAACTATATTGTAACAAAGAGTGAAATAAAGATTATTTATTTATTATTATTAGTTATAATCCACTAACTATTTCTTATTTTGTATTTCACTAATTGTAGATAGGTACTTCTTATTTATTTATTTCAATGATGTGTAAATAAATAACTGCTATTATATTTTTGAAGAAATGCAATGTAATTAAAACCTATGTCTTTCAAAGACGTAAAATACCGTTTTATTTATTAGTTACTTAGATTTGGAAACCAATCATTCCATCTACTTAATCCTTATTTCTAGATTTATTCTGGTCGAATGTTAATGAGGGGTGATAAGCATGTGAGGAAAGCAAGGGATTTGTTACTTTTGAGGAATTGTTCGAATTGATATCTACTGCTGATTTTTACTATCATGCAATCCGTCACAAACTAAAGTTCCATTCCAATCATTTGGATCAGAGGCAGTCCTCCAACGTGCGTTGTTCAAGACACTTCCACGCACAGTCACGCTTTGGAATAAAATTACAGCTGCAGTATTTTCGAATCGATACGACATCGTAATCTTCAAGAAAAGAGCATATTCCTTTTGAAATATTTAATTCCTTAAGTGCTGCGGGTGCTCATGGGCGGCAGTAGTCACTTATCATCAGGTAAGCCATAGATGTCGTAAGAGGCGACTAAGGGAACTTAATAGTCTAGGGATAGGCAGCAGCGTCCCTCTTATAACATCACTAAAGCGTGACTACGGTTGCTAACCCGATTGCTAAGCATGGCAACTACTGGTTAAACCTTATGGTTCTCTATATGCCCATGTTCAACAGAGGACAGCTAACGGGTGATATGAGAATGATAATGACTATATTTTTTAAGTACTATGACTATATTTTCATGGTGTATTATAGGTAATTAGAATGTTAGTTTTTTTTTTTATAAATAATCCCCTCGCTCCCAAATCATGGATGCAGTTATTAGAATGACTATCATCCAATGGAATGACTATCAATAAAATTCGCTAGTTCTTTTATGAGCGTTAATGAGATAGTTACTCCGCCTGCACTATCGGTATATACTAGTTGAGAGATTATAGATAAGGATGTAGCGGGTCAGTTGGCCCTTTATGACGAATTCGACAGGAATTAAACACGATGGTTTCCATAGGAAATCTCATTGAGGTTTTTTTTTTGATAGGTGAAAATGGCACGGTAACACCGTATGCGCTAACGGGATACGCTGGCCAGTTAGCCCATCATGATGAATTCATCAAGAATTAACTATGATAGTTTCCAGGGAGAACCGCGAGGAAGTCGACCTGGTTGGGTATATTGCTAGCAATGGGATTCTCAATCTCCATTACTAACAATCTTTTTCTCCTCCCCTCTTTGAGGTTGATTCTATTAGGATAGATAGGGGGGAGGGATTATTAGTAATGCATAGTGCTAGTCCCATTGCTAGCAATATACGCTACCAAGTCGGCCTTCACGAGGTCCCCTCTGGAAACCATCGTGCCGATTTCCAAGTGTATTCATCACTCACAGTGTATATCATTAGTGCGGGCGGGGTTAGCATTCCATTATTATTCAATAAAAAAAAAATAGGGTAGGTAGGGAAAGATGGGATTGTGCTCAAAGGAATTGTTCAATATGATGCCCACAGCCACTTTCTACCATCGTACGGCTCGCCATCGACAGGGAGTTCATCCTCATGTCCTACAGCCTCAATGGTCGCGTACGCGTGCGCGGTTTCAGAGATGTTTCCTCCCACGAACACTCAGGTTGTGGAATGAGCTCCTTACCGAGGTTTTCCCAAGAGACTACAGCATGGGGTTCTTCAAAAGGGGGGTAAAGAGGTTTCTTCAGGGTCGGCAACGCGCGCGTAATACCTCTGGTATTGCAGGTGTTCATAGGCTACGGTAACCACTTACCATCAGGTGGGCCGTATGCTTGTTTGCCACCTCAGTGGTATAAAAAAAAAAGGGATTGTTAATGATAGGGATTTTCAACTCCATTATTAGCAATATACTGTATCAGGTCGACCACTACGCAGTTCCCCCTGGAAACCATTATGATTGATATATTGTTGATATCGTCGCAGTGGATCAACTGACCTGCTTTCATCCTCACCTATCATCCCTCACTGGTGCCCTGCTAGTGTATACCGATAGCACAGGTGGGGTTACCATTCCATTATCATTTATATAGAAAAAAAAGAAAGTATTACTAACAATGGGGCTCGTTAACCCTAACAAAACTAACTAACAAATCCTTTCCTCCCTGGTTGTACCCGTTAAGGGGAAGGGAAAGAAATAAGATTTTACGCCGACCTGAATGGATATGACGCAAACACAGGAAATGATATATGCCATCACTACAGTTTTGTGCAGACGAATCCGTGTGCCACCGCTACCTTACTATAAAACAAAGGGAGGGCTTCCTGAAGAAAATAAAAGAATTTTATTAACTCGTCGAGCGAATAATAAAATCGGGTAGCACAATACCCGCAATAAATTCGGTTAATGACGGCCCGGGGCCAATGTCGGCCATTTATGTGCCATTAACCCATAAAACCGGGCCACATGGCCGGACATCTTCACCGCGACATTCGAATTTCAAAAATGCTAAGCTGTAAACATTGTGAGACTGTGGCGACATCTAGAACGTAGAGGATAAAGAAACTTTTACAGAAATTCACAAAAGGATTGGCTTTACATAAGATGCCGTAGTTTTTTTTAGAATACGGCAAACGAGCATGCGACTCCCCTGATGGTAAGTGAGTACCGTCGCCTAGGAACATTAACAGTAGACCCGTAACAGCAGAAGAATTACAGTTAAATATGCCTTTTGGACTACGTACAAAATATTAAGAGACTAGTACATTTACTAGCTGTTTTTTCCGGCTTTGTTTGCGCATGAATCAGTACATGAAGTATTCTATGAATGAAATTAGAATATAATTTACTAAATCCAATGAAATAAACTACTTCTAGATGAGGGAAGGGATTGTTAGTAATGAGAGGGTTAGTCCTCATTGCTATCTATATAATATATAGCCTATCAGGTCGACCTTCACACGGTTCCCCCTGGAAACTATCGTGATTAATTTATCGTTAAATTCGTCACGGCGGGCTAACTGCGGGTCTACCATGAAATGGAATTCCGAAATTTCGGACTCAATTTCGTGTTTTTGTTTATACCAAAATCGGACTAATAAATGGAGTTTAACATTTCGTTCGTCATACATCCTATCATAAAAGTCCAAAGGAACGATATTTTAACATTTTTAATATTTCCAAACGGCATGTATTATGTAATTTTAACATCGAATTTCTGTTTCGTTTGGCTCCGAAATTTCGGAAAACGTTTCATTGTAGGCCCTCTGACCTATCTTTTCATCCTCACTAATCATCTTTAACTGGTGCTCCGTTTGTGTATACCGATAGCGCAGGCGGGGTTACCATGCTATTATCATCCATTAAAAAAAAACACATTTAGGTGATCTTACCAAGGTGAATCTTTCACTAAACTTCAAGTGTTCAAGTCCTACTTTCAGAAATACAATTAGAAGAACTGCATCCAATTTGGTATCCTATTTTTTGCGTGATGCGAAAACAAACGTACAGACAGACAAAATTTCTAAAACTTATTGTTTTGATCTCTGTTGCTCTTATAAAGACTTCTCATTTCATTTTACTTAAATATATTACATGTATCACATCTCCCATATTTAGAACTAACAAAATTATTCATCGTGCCTCCCACCGAATTGTTTATAATTACTCCTCTCCATCCAAAGGTTGCCTGCAAGAGATCGCTCTTAGCGATAAGGTCGCCCATTGTTTTCTCATTGTGATTATTTCTTGTAATTGTTTATATTTATAATAAGTTTACTATTGTAATCTTTTGGAGGAAACAGTAAGGAGTATCTATCTATCTATCTATATTCCCGTGTGGTCCAGGCATCTCTTCCTTTCCCGCGGGTGTCGTAAGAGGCAACTAAGGGAGGGCGAGGGATTGGCAGCAGTGCCCCTCTTAAAACATCTCCAAAGCGTAATTGCGGTTGCTAATCTGCCTGCCAAACATGGCAACTACTGGAAAAACCCCTAGAAGAAGGCTTATATTCAGCAGAGGACAGTGATATTGATCTTTTATAATGTCTTTAATGTCCCAATTCTCCTTTCTACCTTCGTTCCCCGTTTCAATTGTTACCTCCTCCTTCTAGATCTAGACGTCTTTGCTTAAACCAGGGTACTGAAGCTTCTCAGCTCAGCTTCTAATATGTATATATTAATATTGTATCCTTCAAATGTATATATATAATAATTTATGTAAATATTTATTTTAACTTCTGTTTAGCACTACTACTTCCCACTCACGTTGACTGGAAGAAATCTCTTTTAGAGATAAGTTCGCCTTTGCTAACATTGTTATTAACTTATTGTTGTTACTGTATGTTTTAGTGCAATAAAGAATATACATATACATGATGATGATATCCCATGTACAGACACCATCTTGTTACAATTTTATTATATTAAATAATTTAATACATAGATTAAAATAAATTCTGCGTCAATCAATAAATGACTGAGTATCTTTAAACGTTTTTTTAGAATTAGTTGCTCTATATAGACAATTGTGATGTTTGTATGTTAGTTTATTGTCTTTATTATTATCTATTAGTTACAAACTATTTAAAACAGTAACCCAAAGCAATAAACCGGTTTATTTGTAACTTAGTTATTATAAAGTTTGTTTGTTTGTTATTGTAATATTGTTGAATATAAACACAATTATAACTTGATAAGTTTTTAATGGAAACATAGTTTATTTTGCGTCTATTTTAGTTTAAACTCTCTCCTCTCTTGACTTAGTTTAGATTTGATATCTTAATGTTAGGTATAATAAGTGTTTTGTAAGAAAAATATTATCTCTAAGGGAACTTAATAGCCGATGGCTGGGCAGCGGTTTCTGTCTTAAAATATCACCAAAACTTAATTGCTGGCAAAACCGCCCAAGGGGTAAGCTTATGTTTAGCAGTGTTTTTTTTTATACAACTTAGAATGGCAAACAAGCTGACGGCCCACCTGATGGAAAGTGGTAACCGTCGCCTATAGACATGAGCAGTACCATGGACATAACAGAGTATACTGTTTCGCCCATGATACCCGCCCATGCGTTGCCATTCCTGAGGACTCAGGTGTTATTCCTCTGTACCCTATAAATTCACTGCCATATCCCACCCTTCAAATCGAAACATGGCCATGCAAACACAACTGCTTTACGGTTGAAACACGAATAAGACAGAGGTACCCAAGCAATCGACTTTTGTACAAAGTCTCCCTTTGGTATGTGCAATTAAAGGTTGAATATGATGATTGATGATGATGACGATACATGCCGTATCATCAATACCAAATTTAGTAACTATCTATCTATCTATCTTATTTAAGAGCTGCGCTCTTGTCGGTGGAGCTCTTGCCACTCACTACGATTTTCAGCGAGTCTCTTCATCTCTTAATACGACACGACACCAACTCCTTCCTTGAGCTGCCTGATGTAACTATGCCTTGGTCTCCCTCTTCCCCTCCCTCCCTCTATCTTACCCTCTATTATAATGTTCATAAGTTCGTCGTGTCGTATCAAGTGTCCTAACATTTTTCCCTTCTGTCCTCAATAGTTCTAATAATTTGTCTTTTTTCCTTAACCCTAAGCAGGACCTCCTCATTGCTAATTCTAAGTTATATAAAAAAAAAATTAAAAAAGTTCCGCTTACAATGTATCCGATTTTTTTACTTTATAATTTCCAATTAGACTTCCGAACGTTGATAGAATTTTCTCGATTTTTCTTACAGACCTCCGATGAACGGAATAGCTTCTATTACATTGACGAAGTGACGCTCTATTAGACTAAATGAGTAACATTTTAACTTGAGAAATACCTTTTATTTATACCACGAAGACTTGCAAACACAAACACATACACACACACACACACACACACACACACACACACACATACACATAAGCATACATACATTATCAGAGAGAGACTTTGTACAAAAGTCGTTTGCTTTTGTATCTCTGTCCCATTCGTGTTTCAACCGTAAAGCAGTTTTGTTTGCATGGCTGTGTTTCCGTTTGAAGGGTGGGATATGGCGTGAATTTACAGGGTACGGAGGAATAACACCTAAGTCCTCAGGAATTGCAACGAGTGGAGGGTATCATGGCTGAAACAGTATACTCTGTTATGTCCATGGTACTGCTCATGTCTATAGGCGACGGTTACCACTTTCCATCAGGTGGGCCGTCAGCTTGTTTGCCATTTTAAGTTGCATAAAAAAAGTTGTTTTTTTCTCTAATTTCTAGTTTTCTGCACTTTAGTTGTTTAAAGCTGAGATGATAACGATTGCTTTCCATTACAGAGACTGTGCAAAGACAATAAAACTGTTTTCAAACTATTTCAAAACGATAAAGGTTTAATGCGACTCTATTTTTACATAACTGCTCAATAATTAAAAAACGTGTTTGTTAAAAAAAAAAATTTAAATGTGGCAAAACTGGTTGTTTTGATTTATAAACTAAATTACTGAGCCGATTTTGATAAAATCTCTATGGGACCAATCTGTAAGTATATACTTTCTAATTAAAAAAAAAAACAATTTTCCAAATATGGATTATGTATCTTTTGGAACTAATGGAGTTATGAAGTAACAAACATAAAAAAAAAATTGCTGATTTTCACCATGGTATAACCCGCCACTAACTAAAGTTTCATCCCATATATTCAGCAGCAGTATTACCGAACCGATACGACAACATAACCTTCAAAAAAAGAGTATATTCCTTTTTAAAAGGCTTTTTATTTCCTTTTTAAACACCTGCAATGCCGTTGGTCGGTCGGTTTAACACGGGAATTATGTTTTGAGCTGTTTTTTTCATAAAACAATGTTATAAATTATTCAAATTAATAATTACAAATATAATAAATTAATAAACTCCCTTATATCTCACTTGTAGAGAAAGAACGCCACTACATTCAAAGATAGCCTGGAAGAATCGCTTTTAGTAATAAAGTCAGCCATTATTTTACTCTATGAACTTCTTTTTGTATTTTTTGTCTTAGCTATGTTTATTATTTACCGTAATTTTTGGAGGAAATATATAAATAGTAAGTATATGTCTACTATAACTATATTGTATACCATTAATAATATTCGAGCCGAGGCGACTGATTAAATAAAAAAAAATATATATATAAATAATCTTCTAAGCTGTCAAAGATTTCCCGCCGAAAACTTCTTGACGTGCGCGATTCCCGCCAAAAACAATATTTATTAATTGTCAAATGAAAATAAAGTATGAACACGTTCCATTCCACGCGTAATTAGGGCATACTCAATATTTTTTCGTATCAACTTTTTTCACTAAGTGGGCAGGATAATAAAAGAGAGGGATGTTGGTCGGCGTTATCGAATGGAAAAGGACGGATATATTGTGTACTTTCTCTTATAGATTTGCTGAAAGCTATACGGCTCGGATACGTTCAGTTTTCAGTTCAGTACCGGGCATTCTGTCTATGAGTGTAGACGTGTTTATTTATTTCGTTAATATTTTCCGCATTTTTTTTACTTGTGAATTTTTGAATAGGTACCCGTTGCGATGTACCTCAGTAACGTTTTTAGGACGAGCGGACTACCCGAGTGTGAACTAATTGCTAATAATTGAACAAATGATTAATTTCTAATAAAAGAGCATTAGATCTGTCGAACACTTGGTTCTAAAGGTTTGATACGTGTTTGTATTGTACCATCTTTATGTTACTATGTAACCGTTTCCTTTGCCTATGTGTATAGTGTTTAAAAAAAAAGTGCGATGTGATATTTTCACAGTTTTAGAGAATTTTTAAATTTGGAAGCTCTGGAATAAGGTGAGTAGTTGCACTACTATTATTTATTCTGTGGACATATACGGTATTTACTACACTATAATTTATTAAAATCTTCTTACAATTAAACAGTTAAATATTTATGCATACTCGAATTATAAATATATAATAAATTAACATGTTTAATTAATTATATTTTATTTTTAATAACTTTTTAAACATTTCCCCAAGCCTGTGTTTGTTAGATATAAAAAAAAAGTACCTAATTTTGTTTATCAAAACGCTATATCATCATAATGTAGCGGGCGGGTATCAATTGTTTCTAATATTACCTGCGAAGGTGATATCAGTGGCTATTAACATGCAATAAATCCGGTTCCAATAAGGCTTGATACGTATTGTTCAATAAAATAGTTATTACAGAACTAACTTCAAGAATCTTTGAAGATTTTTAATTCAGTTGATATTTTTCTTATGTTTATTAATTCAGAACAACGTCATTCACAAACCGGTTTGGTTTTTTTTTATTTGAAAGTATATACCTACTTAACAGATTGGTGCCATCAAAATCGGTGAGTAGTTTTTAAATCAGAATAATTAATTTTGCCACGATCGAAGACGACATTAAAAACGGGAGGTAGTTGTCAAATTGGTTGTATTTTTTTTATGTTTGTTACCATATAATTCTGTCATTTATAAACTGACTAGCGACCCGCCCCGGCTTCACACAGGTGCACATTACATCAGATCACGGTTATCACTTTCCATCAGGTGGGCCGTCAGCCTATTTGCCATTCTAAGTTGTATAAAAAAAACCTTTAAAATTATCAGTGTTTCTCTACTATATTATGCATGTATTATAAATATAAACCTTCCTCTTGAATCACTTTATCTAATAAAAAAACCGCTTCAAAATCCGTTGCGTAGTTTTAAAGATTTAAGCATACATAGGGACGGACAGACAGCGACAGCGACTTTGTTTTTTACTATGTTAGGAATTTGGAAAATTCTTTTTTTTTTATCTGAAACGATATACTTTAGATTGGTCAATTCAGAGGCATAACACCTGAGTCCTCAGGAATGGCAACGGATGGGGGGTATCATGGGCGAAACAGTATACTATGTTATGTCCATGGTACTGCTCATGTTTATAGGCGACGATTACCACTTTCCATCAGGTGGGCCGTCAGCTTGTTTGCCATTCTAAGTTGTATAAAAAAAAAGGAGGCAACCATTGATTTACAGTTTTTAATTTATCATTCCCTCTACGTAATTCGTTGTTGTTAGAATTTTACTCATTGTTATGTTACCTAGTTGCCTAGTTTATTTGCGTTCCGTTATTCCATTACAAACATATGTTTAGTTTTCATTGTTGCAGATTATTTGTTTTCATTTCTACAAAATCAGCACATATATTTATTTAAGTCGTTGCGTCATGTCCAAAATACTATTGTTAACATATTATTATTTCTAATAGTTATAGTAAAATTTGGTACTGTTTAAATGTTAGTATATACACGAATTCCATTCCATGCAGTGGACTTTTTGTTTTTATAATGGGTGATAATGGAATGGTACCTGCGCATGCGCTATCGGTATATACTGGCGGGGCATGATAGACGATGATAAAGCAGGTGTCGAATTCCAAAAGAACTAACCACAATGGTTTCCTGGGGGAACCGCGTGGTGGTCGACCTAATAGGGTATATTGCTATTAATAAGATTATTAGAACCCATTACTAACAATCCCTTTCCCCCTAATATTTATATTAGGTTACAACAAAAATGTACACAGGCGGACTTATTCCTTGAAAGGATTTCTTCCAGTCAACCTCCTTTTTGAAGTCGGTTGAACTTGTTATTATGGCATCTATTGGTCCTATTAAGACCCCTAACATTTTTTTTTTAATATCTCTCTTTGTTTCTTCATAAGAACTGTTGAGATCAGAAGGGAAAAAATGTTAGGACACTTGACACGACACGACGAACTTATGAACATTATAATAGAAGGTAAGGAAAAGTGGCGACCTATTCGTACTGAGACTACACGGCAATTTAATTTATTACTAAAATGAGAAGTGCGAAACCGGGGCGGGTTACTAGTCAATCGTCAAAATAATAAATAACTTTAATAAATTACATGACATCTCAGAACCGACCTCTGAACTTCATCAATGTGATTGAAGTGAAACTTTGAAGTTATTCACTTCACCGCTATCCGGCCATTGTGCACGGGGACTAACTTGCAAATCGCTTGTCTAAAATTAATGACTTCCAAGTATCCGGGTTATTGGGAAAGCATTCCGAATATTAAAGTGGATAGCTTTGCGCATTGACAAAAACAACTGGTAAGCACAATGAGTTTACACTGTGGATTTACATGTAATCTATATAAATAAAACATAATGAAAATGTAACTAAGTTTTCGTGGGATTATTACAGGAATACTCCGTAAACAGAGGTTTTTTTTTATACAACTTAGAATGGCAAACAAGCAGACGGCCCACCTGATGGAAAGTGGTAACCGTCGCCTATAGACATGAGCAGTACCATGGACATAACAGAGTATACTGTTTCGCCCATGATACCCCCCATCCGTTGCCATTCCTGAGGACTCAGGTGTTATTCCTCTGTACCCAGTAAATTCACTGTCATATCCCACCCTTCAAACCGAAACACAGCCATGCAAACACAACTGCTTCACGGTTGAAACACGAATGGGACAGAAGTACCCAAGCAATCGACTTTTGTACAAAGTCTTCCTCTGGTAACTTGGTTTATGTTTATTACCTCATAACTTCATCAGTTATAAACCGATTTGTAAAATTATTTTATCATCTGAAAGCATATACTTACATATACTTACCAGAGGGAGACTTTGTACAAAAGTCGATTGCTTGGGTACCTCTGTCCCATTCGTGTTTCAACCGTGAAGCAGTTGTGTTTGCATGGCTGTGTTTCGGTTTGAAGGGTGGGATATGGTGTGAATTTACTGGGTACAGAGGAATAACACCTGAGTCCTCAGGAATGGCAACGCATTAGGGGTATCATGGGCGTAACAGTATACTCTATTATGTCCATGCTACTGCTCATATCTATAGGCGACGGTTACCACTTTCCATCAGGTGGACCGTTAGTTTGTTTGCCATTCAAAGTTGTATAAAAAAAATATTGGTTCTGTAGAAATTTTATCATAATCGATTTAGTAGTTTAATTTTTAGTTCAAAATAACAGGTTTTCTCACAATTGAAATCGATTTTTTTGTGGGACACAATCTTTAATTATAACAGATGGCGTTGTAGGTGATATAAAGTTCACCAGGTCAATAAGTTATTATTATTATTAACATAAGTAATATTAAGTTACAAAGTTATACACTCCACTACTCCCCTGTTTAAGTATACTCGACACGTACTCAGCCGGATTTTTTCTCGTCCACGTCTTAACTTAATTACAAACGACCGAAACGTAATGAAATCTTTTATTTCCATGTCCCCGTGAAGATCTGGGACCGTATTATTTTATGATTCAAGTCACAAAAAAAAATGTGAATTGACGGATAATGTGGGCCAGGCAATTTGTTACGCGCAGGAATAACAAGCGAGGCAATTATTTTAAGGTACCATTATACAGTGGCGGATTTATTTGTTAATGCAGTTTGCGGGGCCCGGGGCAAAAGGATTGTTATATATTGGGTCAAATAATTCTCTAATCTATTGCTAGCAATTTTTTTTAATGAGTGATAATTGAATTGTAATCCCGCCTGCGCTATCGGTATACACTGGCGGAATACCAGTGAAAGGTGACAAGTAACGATGAAGGCAGATCAGTTGGCCCATAGTAACCAACTGAACAAGAATTAACCATTATGGTTTTCAGGGGGAACCGCGTGGAGGTCGACCTGATGGGGTGTATTGCTAGCAATAGGGCTGTTAAATCTCATCGTTAACAATCCTTTTTCCCTCACCCTATTAGATCAACCTCCACGAGCTTCCACCAGGAAACGGCACGAATGGAAAATGCATAATGAATAGAGTTTACGGTTTACTGTTTAGGAGTTTTATTTTTAATGATGGAATAGTGATCCCGCCGGCCCTATCGGTATACACTGGCGGGGCACCAGTGGGAGATGATAAGAGAATGAAGCAGGTCAGTTAGCCCATCATGACAAATTCACTAATGAATCATTCACGATGGTTTCCAGGGGGAACCGCGAGGAGGTCGTCCTGATAGGGTATATTGTTATTAATAGGATTACTAATCCCCATTTATAACAATCCCTTTCCCCTCGCTGTTTAGGGGTTATATCTATAGTCCATCTGGTTTAGTATAGGTAAAATAAGGAACCTATTGCATTTGTTTCTGATCCACTATAAAAATTGTCCGTTAAGCCAATTTCACAATAACATAATGTGATATCGAAAAACCGTTTCAACATAGGTAGTAGACCGGTGTTTCCCAACGTGGAGCCTACTCCCCACATGGGGGCAATTTTATAGTTAAGGGGAGGACAATTAAAAAATGCACTCTCTTGCTCCGGACCATTTAAATGCAATGCTACGAGTACATATCGGTGCCAAATTTGACAGAAAAAGTAAATTAAAAAAATGCTATAAATATTTATTAGATATAATTTCGTTTAACATTACCACAATATCAATTTGGTGATTAGAGTCGTCAAGTAAACAACTCTGAGTTGTTATTTTTTTAAACCTGTTGTGTTTCACTGTTCCAATATATGTTTTGCCTCTACTAGAGCCCCGTGCGAGCCCTAATACGGCCCTGAAGTTTCACTAGAGAAGTAATTAGATGCCCTGTGACGTCACGCGGTTAGTAATTACAATTCCGAAGGCTAGAATTGTATTGAAATGCTCATTAATCGATACTTTCTGCGGGCAGGCCCGAGTTTGCACGGGTGGAAATTTATTTATTAAACATTCTGGAATAAACATTCTTGAATAAATATTTTGGAATAAACATGAAGTAAATGTATCTCAATATAACTTTTTTATTTATGAACCGATTGTAATAAAACAAACACA